TAAGAACTGTACGAAATATATATTGTTCATATAAAAATACTGAGGTCACTTTTTATAATTTTATCATAATATTTGCCAAACCTCTTTTACTGCAGTATTTGTATATATTTACAGTGATAAGTAATTATAAGAATTATTTACAATGCTTTTTTCAGATACTTTTTATGGATATAGAAAAGATTTCTTTATTCATTGTAAGCTCGGGACACTTACATTCAGTGATACACAATGTTCATTAAGGTGCCACGTTTCGCAGAGTATAATGTTTTCTAGTCACACTTCAGAAGTATAATTACATAAAACATTGAATTCAACAAACAACACCAACTATTTGCAGGTGTTTTGAATTGATGACACATAATGCATATTTTACCGTGGTGTTTGTAATGAACAATGTGAGTAACAGCATATGCAAATGGAGACGACAGAAGTCTCACAATGAATATGAAATCATACTTAAAAATAAAAAGGTTTGGTTTCATTTGTAGGGTTACAATATTTCGATATCTGTGATAAGGTAGTATATGAGTATTGAGCCGGCCCGTGGATAAAGTTCACGACACGCCCCGTCACATCTACTCGTATTATCTGTTCTTGCTGCCTTGACTATGTTCATTTTTGAGTGCAAATATGGTTTAAACGTATTTGTATTTCTGAGGAAACGAGGATCGGTAAAGAAGAAAAATTGTAAGACAAACATACTGATTGGTTTAAACATAGTTTTATTTCGCAAAAAGCAGAAACCTGGAAAGGCGAACAAGCCTAGTGGCTTATATAAACGCCGCTCCAGTACATTGTTCAAATAACTGGATACATAAATGAAATAATTTGACAACAAAGGAATAATACAATAACATATATATGATTGAGTAACAAATATGTTCGTTGTGGTGTTCGTTATGCCTAGCAACGAAATGGGCTACCGCAGAAAATCACGTTATATAAAATTTGTGTTACACTGAATATATATGTTGAGAGGATAATCACTGGAAGCGGTTACTTATAGAACTGAACTGGTGTAATGAGTTAAGAATGTCACTATTAGTTGAGTTATCCAATGCGCCGTTACCGTATAAAGTAGTTTTAACATCGTATCCTTGAATGTAAAAATACACAGTTGTTCTTAAATTTTGATAGTTCCGACATGTAAAAAGGTAGTGTATAACGTCTTCGTTATAATAACCACATGGACACCTGGGTGTGTCCGATATATGTCGATTATATCTGTCTGCGTTTAGATCACTACAGCCGAGCTTATACTGATTGTATTTACGGGGTAATTTACGGAAATACAAATATACTTTAAACCAACCTTAGGATATAAAATGTAAGAATACGCTGATTCGTTTCGAAGTAATTTCTCTTTACTAATGTCTGAATCGTTGAAATTCTGAAATCGATCAAAGATTTCATCGCTAAAAGCCAACGTTTGCATAGTTATCACAATATAAATTTGAGATAAAACACTGATATTGTTGTACTGCATTCCTTTAGCCAAGACTGGACCAGCCTACCCACCTCAATTCTGGATTTACGTATTTATATTTATTCACCAGATGGAAGGTATTTTTCCACAGTGGCATCCATGTAAACACTCTTTTGTTTACCAATCATGATGGAATTTATGAATTATAAATATGTTTAAACCAGTTCGTTTGTGTGTCAGTGATATGTGTAATACTAGATAGTGTTCAGGGCATGTTTATATAATTATTGTGCCGGTAGCCTAATATACCGTATACCTCACTGAGCATACAAAGGGTAATTTAAGTAGTTTATTATATACTATCTCATTACATTCGAACAACCAAATGACAAATCGTGTTTGGTGTTGACATACTAACATCGATGAACTAGTCTCGTATCATTTAGCCTCTATTAGCATATTTGTGAATATTTTCAATTAAAAGTACAAAGATACATTAAAAAAAATATATTTGAACATTTGCTTTGAAATATTAATAATTTCCTGATAATTGTAACTATGGTTTCTGATAATAAGCTGTGTCTTTAATTAAGTTTTTTTAAACATGCTGCTGACAAGGTTACCTATACACCATTTGACACAATAATTGCACTTTTATCCCCTAATAAACTTGTTGTTTTATGTTTAACAAGATTAAGACAGCGATTACTACATGTCATATCACGTTCTAGACAGGATTAACATTAAGTACGGTTTCCGAGTATTCGCCTGGTAAGACAGTCGGACAGACAGACAAGCAACAAGACAGTTGTGACTTTTCATCGCCATTTCACAACAGTATGTTGATGTCATAACGCGGCTCCGTCATACATGAGTTGCACTGATTACGTCACACCTGGGCAACTCGCGGTCACCTGGCGACCTGTGGACTGTGACGATGTGGGACGCCAGGTATTGTTCCTTGATTACAGGTGGGATTGGATCAGAGACTAAGTGGGGTTTTATTGCCCGTTATGGATGGATTGGTTCAGTGTTTGTTGACGGTGTTTCTCGGTGTTTGATCGGACGAGGCTGCGGACGGTGCCGCGACATCATCAGTTGTCGATGTTCATTTAGTGTCATGAGTGGTCATGTACACATGTACAAGTGTCATGTCGGTTGTCTAGTGTCATATATATCATGTTTATGTCCCGACAGACATGATGGCTCAGCGAGTGTGATAACGGTGACTGATGAATTTAATAATTTACCTGTGACAAACAAAACAATAATGCCAGATAGCGGTTTGTTCTGTGGATGCAAAAACATAGAAGGATATTTGACATTTTAGAATGAATTTTAAACATTTTAATTGAATTAATTGAATTAACAATACTATAACTCAGTGATACCGGAATTAACGTGGATTTCAACAAATGCATATACATTATTTCTTTTAGAATATAAGAAAACCTAAATAAATAAACCAGAGTTTCAAATATGCAATTCCATCGTTTCTGACTCTGAAATACCTTTCGATCCAGTCCAATTCATTAATTCTATAATAAACACCTAACCACGATTAGACATAATGTTATATCTGTGCAAGATGTAACAGCATTTAACAAGAATAATGAAATTAGGATTTTAGATACTAATAATTCTTACACACACGATTAAGGAATTTTGAAATTGATTTTATATCTATCACACTAGTATTTTGTAGTTTCTTAAACTAAAACAGGTTTGGAAACTTAAGATATTTGTTTGTGTCAGAGTTCGATGACAGAGAAATCCAGAACACCTAAATACATAATGAAATAGCGACAAAACTCTTTTCCACATTAACGGAGCTCTGCTTGGACCAGAGTCGATTGTACAATTCCGACTGTATAATGTGTATGCTTGTATGATTAACACCATCCTCAGCAATATTACAGCTGTATGACAGCGGTCTGTACATAATCAAATCTGGACCAGACAACCCAGTGACTGACATCATGAGACACGATGACAGAGCATGTATTTATGAATCACTATCAAATAGTGACGGCATCAGGTGTTCGCGAAAGGGTGAGCGTAACCTGCTCACAGTTTAAATACATGTGGTTTAAACATATCTTTTTCATGAAAAAGCAACGACAGAATTTTCATGAACTGGATTGGTCAACAAGCTCAATAGAACATTAAGTACATGTAAAGGGAAGTCAGTTGTTCACCTGAAATACACATCTCCGGAAGCATTTGAATTACACTATCAACATGGCGGAGTTCCCTGGAAATGTTCAGCCATCGATAGGTTGTAAAGTGTGACATAGACGAAACACAGTGTATAGGTTTTTCATGAGTAATGCACCTCTATTTTTAGCATGGATCTCCACTGTATTTTGGACGAGTATAACATGTCAGATCCATTAATTTATTGATTCACTCCATCTTCACTGAATGCTTCACAATTACACTGAATGTATGATTTTGGAAGACATAATACAATTAGGAAGGTATCATTTAATTATATCAAATGATAGAATGTATATTGATATGCATGATTATGTTTTTCATGGATTTATCCGATTTATTGCTCTACTTTCACCGTTATCATAATATTTGCATCGGAAATGTATTTGAACAGGCTTAGTGCTATTCAGGTTTTAGGTATATATAGTTTATATTGTTTATGCAACTAATGTTTATAGACTTTCAACAATATGTAACTTTCCACTTGCTACTTTAATGAATGTGAATGAATTCATCCGGTTATTAAAAAAAAAATCATCTCATACCTACGTGTAAAATTCACATGTCAATATTATGAATTTAAAAGCAATAATAAAAATACTCCTAAAATACTGTATGAAAATAAGGCAGAGAGGTTTTATGGATGTCACCTTGTTTATTATAAGGATCATAACGTTTAGGTGCATGAACTTCTTAGTAAACTACTGTACATTTTTATATTGTGTGAATTTATGCGAAGCAAAATATGATAAACATATGTATATAAAGTCGGTGGCTTTTTCGCTATGGTGTATCCTGGTTTGTATATGCATTTGTATGTTCATTTAAACATATTGTATGTTTTTATAATGCGGTTCTGTTATACTTTGAATCCTAGTGTTAAAATGATGTGGATATGTAATTATATTTGAGAATCACATTTGAGAATTAATTTTTGTTAAACGAACAGTGAGATAAGCGCTATGAGGCGGCTGCAGATCCAGCCGGTGCCCGCCGTGTCTCACCTCGTGCTGCACGTGAAGCACCTGTCATGTAGATGTCGATATACATGTCACCTGTCTGGGAATGATATGAGCACGCGGTAATGACTACAAGCCCGTGTTTTACAGCTCTCCACATTTATTGCCTCTCGTGAGTGTTTGACATCTTGGTTGTACCACACGGTGTTGCAGTCAAGGAGATTCGGGCCTGGGAACCTGGGGATGTGGGGCTGGGAACCCGAGGGTGGGGTCGGTCTCCTTTGTGTATGGGGCTGGTAATCTGGGGGTTTGGTGATGGTAACCTGGTTATGTGGGGCTGGTAACTTGGAGGCGTGGGGCTGATAACGTGGATGTGCGGGGTCGGTTACCATTGTGTGTTAGGCCGGTAACCTGGGGATGTGGAGCTGGTAACCCGGGATTTGTGGGCAGGTAACCTGGGGATGTGGAGCTGGTAACCCGGGATTTGTGGGCAGGTAACCTGGGGATGTGGAGCTGGTAACCCGGGATTTGTGGGCAGGTAACCTGGGGATGTGGAGCTGATAACCCGGGATTTGGGGGCAGGTAACCTGGGGATGTGGAGCTGGTAACCCGGGATTGGGGGGCAGGTAACCTAGGGATGTGGAGCTGGTAACCCGGGATTTGGGGGCAGGTAACCTGGGGATGTGGAGCTGGTAACCCGGGATTTGGGGCAGGTAACCTGGGGATGTGGAGCTGGTAACCAGGGATTGGGGGCAGGTAACCTGGGGATGTGGAGCTGGTAACCTGGGATTGGGGGCAGGTAACCTGGGGATGTGGAGCTGGTAACCCGGGATTTGGGGGCAGGTAACCTGGGGATGTGGAGCTGGTAACCCAGGATTTGGGGCAGGTAACCTGGGGATGCCGGGATTTGGGGGCAGGTAACCTGGGGATGTGGAGCTGGTAACCCGGGATTTGGGGCAGGTAACCTGGGGATGTGGAGCTGGTAACCCGGGATTTGGGGGCAGGTAACCTGGGATGTGGAGCTGGTAACCCGGGATTGGGGGCAGGTAACCTGGGGATGTGGGAGATGGGTAACCTGGGGATTTTGGGGCAGGCAACCTGGGATGCTGATTACCCGGATTTGGGGCAGGTAACCTGGGGATGTGGAGCTGGTAACCCGGGATTGGGGGCAGGTAACCTGGGGATGTGGAGCTGGTAACCCGGGATTGGGGGCAGGTAACCTGGGGATGTGGAGCTGGTAACCCGGGATTGGGGGCAGGTAACCTGGGGATGTGGAGCTGGTAACCCGGGATTGGGGCAGGTAACCTGGGGATGTGGAGCTGGTAACCCGGGATTGGGGGCAGGTAACCTGGGGATGTGGAGCTGGTAACCCGGGATTGGGGGCAGGTAACCTGGGGATGTGGAGCTGGTAACCCGGGATTTGGGGGCAGGTAACCTGGGGATGTGGAGCTGGTAACCCGGGATTGGGGGCAGGTAACCTGGGGATGTGGAGCTGGTAACCCGGGATTGGGGGCTAGGTAACCTGGGGATGTGGAGCTGGTAACCCGGGATTGGGGCAGGTAACCTGGGGATGTGGAGCTGGTAACCCGGGATTTGGGGGCATAACCTGGGATGTGGAGCTGGTAACCCGGGATTTGGGGCAGGTAACCTGGGATGTGGAGCTGATTACCCGGGGGGGCAGGTAACCTGGGGATGTGGAGCTGGTAACCTGGGATTTGGGGGCAGGTAACCTGGGATGTGGGCTGATTACCCGGGATTTGGGGCAGGTAACCTGGGATGTGGAGCTGGTAACCCGGGATTTGGGGCAGGTAACCTGGGGATGTGGAGCTGGTAACCCGGGATTTGGGGCAGGTAACCTGGGGATGTGGAGCTGGTAACCCGGGATTTGGGGGCAGGTAACCTGGGGATGTGGAGCTGATTACCCGGGATTTGGGGGCAGGTAACCTGGGATGTGGAGCTGGTAACCCGGGATTGGGGCAGGTAACCTGGGATGTGGAGATGGTAACCTGGGATTTTGGGGCAGGTAACCTGGGGATGTGGAGCTGATTACCCTTCGGGATTTGGGGCAGGTAACCTGGGATGTGGAGCTGGTAACCCGGGATTGGGGCAGGTAACCTGGGGATGTGGAGCTGGTAACCCGGGATTGGGGGCAGGTAACCTGGGGATGTGGAGCTGGTAACCCGGGATTGGGGGCAGGTAACCTGGGGATGTGGAGCTGATTACCCGGGATTTGGGGGCAGGTAACCTGGGGATGTGGAGCTGGTAACCCGGGATTGGGGGCAGGTAACCTGGGGATGTGGAGCTGGTAACCCGGGATTGGGGGCAGGTAACCTGGGGATGTGGAGCTGGTTACCCGGGATTTGGGGCAGGTAACCTGGGGATGTGGAGCTGGTAACCCGGGATTGGGGGGCAGGTAACCTGGGGATGTGGAGCTGGTAACCTGGGGATGTGGCGATGGTAACGCGTTTGTGAGTGGCCGGTAACTTGAGTGTGTTGGCCTGGTAGCCTGTGGGTGTTCGACTGGGAACACGGGAGTTTGGGGCTGGTATCCAGAGGGTGTGGGGATGGTAACTTGTAATATGGTGAAGGGCCGATAAATTGAGTGTGTTGGCCTGCTAACCTGTGGGTGTATGACTGGGAACCTGTGATTGGGACTAGTCATCTTCAGGCGTTGTGTTTCAAATCTTGGGATGTAGAGGAGAAGCAGTACAACGAATAACATAAAGCTGTTTACCTTATATGACGCAAAGAGGCTTCATAATCAAAAGTGGGATACATACTGTATTCGATGTGGATCAGTGAAAGGGCACTTTTGCTTTTGGAGTTGGAACCTACCCGGTTGAAAATCTCAAATGGGCTCCAGTTACATGAACCCCTAAATAAAACACTCACGCATATTTACGGGCCTCTTACAAAACGAATCATCAGCTTCTGACCAGCATGAAAACACAACAATTAACAATTTATATGTCACTGCTGTGTAATATTCATGTAATATTCCCGATCCTTTTTGTAAATAAGATAGAGGTGTGGTGTATACGTGTCTCAGCAAGATGTTACCAGTGATTTGTAAATAAACACCTTGAAACAACTACATTGTAACCTCAACTGTTGATGAAGGATGATAAATCGGGTCAGTGTTTGAACTATAAACATAATAAATGTACCAAACCGCTTAGATGAATAAGAGTTTATCACGTAACCGGTGATGATACAGGGTTAGACTTGCGACATTTTCTTTGGAAGTTGAATGTGTGTTTCTCGTTAAACGCTGCAACAAAGCAATTGGAAGTACAGAGAGATGGAGAATGGGAAGCACGTGCAGTGCCTTCTAGGATACATCTACCAGACCTCGCCATTGTAGACACTTGTGTAGTCACGTCACGTTACGTCACGCGGTGTCACTGCCTCCTTGCACTTCTAAGTGCTGCGAGGAGATATATGGATGGGAGGAATTTGGAAAAGGGGCTACTTCACAGAAGATGAGGATACGTTCGCGAACTGCTGTTTATGACCCCCGTCCCGACACATCCCCGCCCTCTGCACGACATCAGGCTTGGCAGCACCGTACAGTGTCCGTTGGCCTACAGTCGATACATGTTGATAGATTCAGGTTTCATATTCCAGGGTAGGCCTACTGCGGGTGAGAGACTGAATGTCCAGAGTTTGGAATGGAGAAACTATACATCGGATGTTGTATATACAAATAAAATACTTGAAAGCAGGATACTGAACCAAGTCATTTTAAAAGATGGCGATTTACAATGTGGCCATGTACATGTGTATAATTTAACACCGCTGTTAGTAATAGGCTCGGGACCAAATGGGCTCAATATATCCTACTCAAGAGAGGATCGAACCCTGATCGAGTTGATCTATAGGCCCACCTTTCCAAATCCCAGATTAGAAAGTATTATTACATTATTTTCTATTTTATTTTTAAATGGCTTTGTGGAGAAAATCATTTGATATAGGTCACACATGGCCAGAATTACTATGAGAAACGTTTCTAGGGTTGTCAGTCAACTGTACGCACGAGCTTCCATTTGACTTAATGCCCACACACCTATAACATGTTGATGGGTAAACCACGTATGTGGCACGCAAATGACTTCAAACAACATCGACGAATTTCAGTCGAGCGCGTGTTTCGTTGAGATAATTTTTCTTCTCCGAGACAGCTTTCCCCGCTTATGCACAGACATGTCCCCAGGAGATGTGCATGTTGCGTCCGTTACCTGGTGTAAACACGCTCCGTGCTCGGGTTTCAAATTATCAACAGATGCTTCGTCACCTCGTGGTGCGTATGACGAGTTTCGCTGAGTTAGACCACTGATCATGTTAATTTCATCCCACGTGGAGCCACCTGGTGGCGACATCTTCTCTACATCCGGCTACTCCACGTTGTTGGCGGATATTGAAACAAAGACCAGTTGGTTTCTTTCTATATTTTTTCATGTTTACTTCCAAGCTGTTCAGAACTTCATAACACGCTTTGTTTGTCCATCTGCCAACTTTTGAAACTTAACTCAACTTTCAAAACCAGATACATTACACAGAGATTAATATCGGAGTGAGTGAGTTCAATTTTACGCGGCACTCAGCAATATTCCATCTATATGGCGGCGGTCTGTAAATAATCCAGTCTGGACCAGACAGTCCAGTGATCAACAGCATGAGCATCGATCTGCGCAATTGGGAACCGATGACATGTGTCAACCAAGCCAGCGAGCCTGACCACCCAATCCCGTTACTCGGCTCTTACGACAAGCATGGGTTACTGAAGGTTCAATCTAACCCGGACCTTCAGGGGTGATTAATATCGGAGATAATCACACACGTGTGTGTTTAATCATGATAATTATGAATTTACGTAGACGTCGATATAGCTGATAAAAATATCAAGAAGTGTTAGAAAACAGTATTAATTCGCAATGTATGTACGTACGTATGTATGCATGTGTGTGTGTGTGTATGTGTGTATGCGTGCGTGCGTGCGTATGTATGTACGTGCGTATGTATGTGTGTGCGTCTGCTCTCCCTCCACTTCGACTTCGAAGCTCTGTGTTACTCTCTGACCTAAGTACTCTCTCTCTCTGTCTCCGTCGCTCCCGACGCTCTAGTCCTAACACTAGAGCGTCGGAGAGCGGAAGGTCGCGGGTTCGATCCCCGACCGCGTCATACCAAAAGACGTTAAAATATGGTACTTGTTGGTCCCTGCCCGGCGCTCGGCATTAATTGGTACAACAAGGACTGGTCGGCTCGGAGTCATGTGCCTGAGTGGGGTATTCATGCTTCACTGCGGCATGGTATCTCAGTGGGCTAACACTATAAAACCAGCTTTAGTCTGGGCTAGTACAAGCAGCCGCACATAAACATACACACGCATGCACGTCGTCATATGAGAGAAATATTCTCCAGCACGACGTTAAAACCCAATTTCACCTCACTCTGACATGCACTCTCTCTCCACATGCACTCCCATGCGCCATATAATCAGCATCTCTTTCAAGCCGTGCTCTATCCTACTCTCTATCCTTCATGCACATGTAACCCAACTACTCACTATCCTTCATGCACATGTAACCCAACTACTCACTATCCTTCATGCTTGTAACCCACTTTCTCTCCTTCCTCTCCCTGTCTCTCTATCCTCTCGTGTTATCAGCACCATGTCCACACACGTCGATGTCGTGGTCAAGTAGACGCTGTAAATCTGTCGGCGGTGATGGTTGGAGAAGTTCAAGAGACACCTGTTATAAATCCCGACCCCTTCTACCTGTTCCCTGGCCCCCCTATATCTGCCGCCTGGTGGCCGCCGGGGGAGGGTGTTGTCAGGATCGGTCACTTAGAGAAAAACACGGAAAACGACGCGGCGAAAGTATTTTGATGAGTTTCGTGGATTTAAATCAAATGTGTGTCAGACAAATTCCCTACGAATCCAGAGTAAACTTGTTAACTCTATCAACAACTTTAAATGAAAAAACCCCGCATACTTTTTGGTTAAAACAATTTACATTTTGATATAGCCTGGCGGGGAGGGGTGGAAGTGGAGAGTTTTTCAGTGAAAGGAAAACTAACAATTTAGACACATAGATGTATTTTTTTACAAAACATGTTTTCCTGCATCATAGAAAGCCGACAAATTTGTGCATGTAAAGTCAGAAACTATTCTGTTCCCAGTTCGTTTTTGGAACAAATTATTAAGACACACAATCACCATTCCCCGTCGAAGAATATTATATGAGTATTGAAAATGGCTATCGCGGAACCAATATTCCATTTCACACTGTGCTCCATTTGCCAGAATATCTTGTGATCCCGTGGTATCCTTGCTATCCAACCAGGAAGGTTGATGGCGATGAGCCACTGGCATATCACCTCCATAATGGAGGAGTTGATGTCGTGACAAATAAGTAAATACACAGAAATACCATGCAGGGAGATATTTCTTTGTTGTTTAACACTTCACCCAGCAATATTACAGCTGCCAGACAGCAAATAATGCAAACAATCGAGTCTGGGCCATAACAATCTTTTCACTTAAAGCACTCACTATATGTTATGAAGTATACAACTGAATTTCGCTCGATAATAGAACACACAAGATATGTTACGTACGAAAAGAATTCTTTACTTCTTCGTGACAAAGAAGTTTGACATTCCATCATTTAAATGAATTAAATAATGGCGAAGACAAGACGAACACATGTTCCTATGCGTGAATGAGTAAAGAATATTTAGACCAAATAATTGACTGAAGTAAATTTCACGAGACTCCCGATGGGTACAGAGCATATATCTTGGTATATCTTGCTCCTCTGAGCCCAATGAGAAGATGATACGATGATTACGATGTCGGATCTCAAAAAGTAGTCCAAATAATAGTCATCGGATCCCGACAGAGCATATTCATAATATCTTGCTCCTCTGATCACCAGGACATAAATGTCGGATTGTGATATCCTAACCTAACGGTAGACGTATGCAGTAACAATAGAACTTGACTTTGACCTGTGATCCCAGCAAACAATGATACTGAGGTTCTTGAGAATATGAATACTTCACAAAATGCGTAGGTTGAATTTCGAATGTATCCAAGATAACACATAGTCTTACCTGAATAGGAAAGTTCTCTGGCACCGTGTACATCCTACTTGTTGTCTTTCAAAGTAATGA